TTTTGTTTTAAACTCAAACAATTTACTTTTATTTTTAACTCAAAGTTTTCTTTATTTCAACAAACATAACTAAGTACTTTCATTTTTGAACCATTCAAGCAACATACCTAAAATTTAAAACCAAAAACAGTAACTTGTGTTCTTTGAAAACTAATTTACGTTACTTGAAATATAACATGTTTTCGAATGGAAATTATTGCCGCAACAAACTATTCGCACCCGGCGCTTGGTGCGGGTAAATGGCTAATATATATATTAATAAGCATTTATATTCAAATGCTGAATTTTAAGAGGTACAATCTTTTATGCAATTTGTACAATAAATTTATTCACTAACTGTATTATAGAAAATTAAGGAAGTAGATCGGTCAAAATCAGACTTATTATTCCCTATTTTAAGCCAATAGAATCAGTCTACATATGAAGTCTATATAGCATATCCTATCTCTTCCCCACCACTAACACACTCTAAAGTCTAAACTATCCCCCTTATCAACGAATTCTGGAACTCCGTTCACCTTCCTCTATGACCACCTTCACCACTTCATCTCATGACGATTCACCATCCCAACACCTTAAAAACCAGTCAAACCAACAACAACACCTTCACCTTAATCTCTCCTCTCCTGTCCCACTTGGCCACTTCCTCAATCGTAAGCATCGTCGCCACCAAATGTCAGCTTCACCATCTTCACTATCCTACACCCCCTTCACTAGATCTGTCAACACAAATAACCTTGAAACCCTATATTCTCCACCTTTCTTTGTCTCTCTAACATCCACCACCACCACCACCTCAAAGTTATGAAGGCGGATCCGTCGAGTCCAGGTACGATCTCACCATCAAAGCCATCATATCCCTAATGTCTCTAATTTGTTTCTTATTTCTTTTTTGCTTTAGTGAAAAACAGAATGGAGCCTCTTCATAGAGAAAACGTTAAAAAATTCAACCCCAACCATTATCCAGGGTAAAATTCATATACTGTTTATTTGTAGTTTCAAAAGCTCTGAGATTAAGTTGAATTGAATCGAGATTCCAATATTTCCCAATTCTTCATACAAAATTTCAATCAATAGATCTTGACTGGTAAACATGTTGGTTTTTCTTGGATAATGATTGTTAATTTTTGTTTCATCCTGTTGGTGCTTGTATGTCTTGACTTTGTAAGTTTTAATAGTCTAATTTGATCACTGAACTGATGGATGAACTCATTAGATATGGAATTCATCAGTTTTATGCTTTTTCATGTTTCTTTTGTAGGTATGATATATCAACTGACAGTCGATAAACAACTCAAGAACGAAGCTGACTTAAAAGTCAAGACTTTGTACAGTTACAACTTACACGTATTCCACCTTATCTTTTCCATTTTTCTTATCAAATACTCATCCTTTTCATCTTTCTTAACATGAGTTATGATCGATTTTAGCCAAAATATATCCAAACAGAGAAACAAATGATAATAAGGTGTGTATTAAATGTCCCTACTATATAACTATGTTGGATTTGTTGTGTTTCTTTCATTTTTTGAATTTTCATTTGTCATTAGATGCCTAATTTTGTTTGTATTCGATATTTTTATGTTGCCATTTTATTTTGCAACCAAGACTACAAATAGCTCTTTTTATGGTATTTTAGATTTGTTTATGGTGATATTTCAGATCTATGTTGCAGATCTAGATGAGAAATGGCGTTTGAGATGAAAGATAGTTTTTGGATATGGATGAAATTAGATTAAAAAAAGGATTTTTCAGATTTTATCTGTATTGAAAAATTGACAGATGTGCATCATGCTAATTACAGTTGGTCTATTCAACAAAGCATTTCAAGTGGGATATGGTTTGGTTCAATTAGTTTTAGGTTTTTGTTTATTTGATTATCATTTCAAAGTTGTTACAGATCATTATTGGCGCTAGCTACCCAAAAGGTAGTAACGGGTTGACTGACCTTGTGAAGAAAACTTTCTTTCATCTAATGAATCATAATGATGATGCAATAAAGAGGATTCCATGTGTCAAATTCATGATGGGTCTGTTTGATTACTTTTTTAATAACAAGATTACATATATATGATTAAATTTTAAGATTTCATAATTATAATTGTTCTTGGCAATATAGGAAAAGCTTAATGTTGCAAAGAAAGTTTAGCAAGAAATCTACAAATCTGTGTATTTGAGAAAACAAGAGAATTAATCTCCCAAACATCACATGATGCCTCTTAACAATGGTAAGTGGGATATGTATTCAAACATAATATTGGCATGCCTTCATTTTTCTATTATAGTAGTGAACTTTTATTGGATATTGTGATTTAATCTACAATTTGAGTTTCTTTTATTCCGTTTTAGGTATTTAGATTGGATTAATTGATCCAACATAATAGTTGGATCCCAAATTACTATGATCTAATATATTGGAAAATGTGGAAAGTACCACAAGTTTGGTTGCATGGATGATCGACAAGTTTTGACCGAATTCCAAGAGTGCAAGAACGTATACCCAAATGGATATATAAGGTGTTTAGCCTTTGATAATGATGTGAGGCATGCTCAGTGCATTTATGATGTTATTCAGTTGATTGAGATGGATAATAAGGTGAATCTTCTTTTATTCTTTTGAATATTATGTAATTTTCCAAGGGATAAAAGTGTAGTTTGATTTGAAAATTTCAGCTGAAAGATAATGAAAAGGCTGAACAGTCCACCTAAGCATCTCGAGTTGTTGATGTTGTTAAATAATAAATTTTTCTTGAATATGAGTTCTTTTTCACATCTTATTGGGACGACTCTGACTGTGTGGATGACATGATCAATTGAGATGGCTTACTTGCATGAGGTTAGTACAAAATATGTGTGGCTTACTTACACGAGGTTAATTTTCTTTGTACAACTATTTGGAAGATATTTCTAATTATATCTCTATACTTATTGTTTCTTTCGTGTTACTATGAAAAACCAAATGAGACACAAGACAAAGTTGCATTGATTTTTTTATGGATAGGCAAAAGAAGACATGAGAGTTTTATTATTGGTGACATCAAGTCAGCCAGCGACATTACAATCATAAGCCACAAAACATTGTATTTGAAACTTTTTTTTATTACTTTATATGGGGTAGAACGATAATGGAATCTTTTGAATTGTATATTGGATTTCATGTTAATGAAATACATTTGGATGCAATGCGACATTTTTTTTTTCTAAATATAGAGGTCAATTTGGTCAATGTCTTATTGTGTAAGATGATGGCAAAACTTCTCCGACTCATGCCAAGGCCTTACTAAGAATTGGATAAGAGGCTTCTTAAATATACTTTTATGAAATTTATGAAACATCCATAATTTAATTTAGCTCACGTAGAAAATTTAAGATATATGTTGTGTTTGTATGAATCTTGACAAAATATAAGTTTAAGATATGTGTTGTGTTTGTATGAATCTTGACAAAAAAGAATTGTTTGAATGTTTTCTCATTAAGGATCACATGTTTAATTTGTAAGTTATTTGCTTCATGTATAAATTTATTACCCTAAATTTGATTTGAAAGGGTATTATGATAAGATGATGGTATTTATTCGAAGAAAAACTAAATGAAAATAATAAATGTAATAAAAATAGAATAAATGGTTTTATTTTTAACCCAAATTTACGATATACATTTCATTTATTAAAAATAAACAAACGTATTTATATTTGTAAAAAATCTCAATTTTTCATTTTTAATTATTATTGATTTTGTTTCTGCTAAAATGACTCTTATTGATAATTGTTTAGATATAGTAACTATTTGCACAAAAACACTAATCGCCTCTTCAACTAATTTTTGAAAAAAAATATTCGCACCCGTCGCTTAGCGTGGGT